TCAATCAAAAATTCAAAATCAACATTCTGACCAATCAGATACCGCCTGCTACGCAGGCTACCAATCAGAATGCTCCGGCACCCAGCTGCCGGGGAGAACTCAGAATGTGTAGTTTTTGGGCAGGCGGTATTTCAAGCTTCCCATTCGCTCGTGCCCGCGAGTACCGCCTGCTACGCAGGCTAGTTATTTAACACCTCTTCAATCTTCTGAAAATGACGTCATGTCAGTTTGGTGGTTGGAAACAAGTGCTGACCGTAGTCGACTGCACTGCGAGTTTGTAGAATGGGCTATTCCATTTAATATCCGTACACCCCCTGTCGAGGATACATGTTTTTCGTGGTTATATCCCTGAAGAATTCCAAGCTCAAAACCCTTTACCCCTGAAGAATTCCAAAATTCCAAGCTCAAAATCCTTTACCCCTGAAGAATTCCAAGCTCAAAACTATTTACCCCTGAAGAATTCCAAAATTCCAAGCTCAAAGTCCTTTACCCCTGAAGAATTCCAAGCTCAAAACCCTTTACCCCTGAAGAATTCCAAGCTTAAACTTTTTACCCCTGAAGAATTCCAAGCTCAAAACCTTTTACCCCTGAAGAATTCCAAGCTCAAAACCTTTTACCCCTGAAGAATTCCAAGCTCAAAACCCTTCAGCCCTGAAGAATTCCAAGCTCTGAAAAATATCAAAGTCAAACCTCTTTACCCCTGAAGAATTCCAAGCTCAAAACCCTTTCCCCCTGAAGAATTCCAAGCTCAAAACCCTTTACCCCTGAAGAATTCCAAGCTCAAAACACTTTACCCCTGAAGAATTCCAAGCTCAAAACACTTTACCCCTGAAGAATTCCAAGCTCAAAACTCTTTACCCCTGAAGAATTCCAAGCTCAAAACCTTTTACCCCTGAAGAATTCCAAGCTCAAAACCTTTTACCCCTGAAGAATTCCAAGCTCAAAACCCTTCAGCCCTGAAGAATTCCAAGCTCTGAAAAATATCAAAGTCAAACCTCTTTACCCCTGAAGAATTCCAAGCTCAAAACCCTTTCCCCCTGAAGAATTCCAAGCTCAAAACCCTTTACCCCTGAAGAATTCCAAGCTCAAAACACTTTACCCCTGAAGAATTCCAAGCTCAAAACACTTTACCCCTGAAGAATTCCAAGCTCAAAACCCTTTACCCCTGAAGAATTCCAGGGATCCTCAACAGGGGGGGTACGGATATTAAATGGAATAGCCCAATTCGAAAGTGTATTGAGATTTGAGAAAGACCCTTGGGAATTGGGATAATTATGTAGAACCTTGTCCAACTATGGTTGAGTACTAGACGCAGCACAGGAGAACAGACTTCACTTTGGGAAACATTTCTTTGCACATAAAAAGGTATTAAGTGATATCAACTACAATTTTGAAACGCCAGAAACGGTGGCCAGATTATTTACGTTTTGCCCCTCGGATTGTGACACACACAGTGACTCGTACAACACGTCTAAAATTTATATATATTTAACTTTATATTAAAATTGAGGAGTTTAAATTAAGGCACTTTTCGAGTTTTACAATTACTTTATGTTTATGAAATATACACGTACAATGTAGTTTAATAGTTAAAAGCGCACATGGGCACATCCGCACATGTGAATCATGCAACAGTCAACAGACCAACTTTATTAATATCTCTTCGTATGCATGAAACACACCAGCTATTGAATTATTTTGACATACACTGCAGGTATTAAATCTAGATTTTGGTAGTGATGCGCCAACATCTATATCGGCCATAAATTCAAAATATTGATATTAAATTTCTGTTGCCAATATTACTGATGAATTATGATTATATATTATGATAAATTTTCAAATATATTTTAAAATTTAAAATATATTTGGGGTCTCAGTTTATTGTTACCATGGATTGTAAAATAACATTTATTAAAATAATGTTTATTTTATTATCCATGTTGTAACACAATTCAAGTGGCCAGAATGTACCACATTCAAAGATGTTATCAGGGTAATGCTGATTGAAGGGTATTGTGATGGAAACTGTCGAGTGGAAATCTATATACATATATTAGATCTAATCAGGGACAGAAGTGAAAAATGCAACTTTAGGTCCCTGGCAGGAATTGAACTTGTAGCCCTGCGATTCTGGTGCAGCGCTCTGATCGACCAACTGAGCTACAGACCACAAGTTCATGTAATAAATACTGGGGTACTGCCATTTATAGGTTATATTTACATATCAAGATTTTTGTGGCATATCTCACTCAAATGAATAATATTTGATAGGTATTACTATTGTAGTGTACACTCCAAGTAACATCACAAGCATCATATTCACCTGAGTAGTACATTACACCAGCACAGAAAAATCATAATTACACTAGATTGTATTGATATCGAAGGAACTAAATATCACACACTCGAACCGACCTGACCGCGTAGCTCCGTTGGCAGAGCATTGGGCTAGTATTTCAAAGTTTGTAGGTTCGATTCCCACTGTGGACAGGCATATTTTTCAAGCTTGCCCAGTGTGGATATACACTCAGAGTGACATCGCACAAGCATCATATTCACCTGTGTACATTACACCAACACAGAAAAAATCATGATTACACAAGATTGCATTGATATTGAAGGAACTAAGTTCTGTTCTGATATATCACACACTTGAACCGACCTGACTGCATAGCTCAGTTGGCAGAGCATTGGGCTAGTATTCCAAAGGTTGTAGGTTTGATTCAATGATTCCCACCGTGGTCAGGCATATTTTTCAAGCTTGCCCAGTGTGGATATACACACAGAGTAACATCACAAGCATCATATTCACCTGAGTACATTACACCAACACAGAAAAAAAATCATAACATTCTTTATACATGGGTTCATATAGGTTAGGCCAAATAAAAGAAAATACTTGGTTAGCATCACACTCTCACAAATTTTCAGAGGCGGGAGGGCGTTTTTTAAAAATTTTTTACTCATTTTAAAAATTTTTTAATAAGTATTTTTTGAGGGGATGGGGGCGGTTTTTCCACCATATTGGTGATATTTTTTGTAGTGATGTTGTGAAGGTCGCCATTTTGATATAAGAACCTTGTACCCAAGCCCACACGCTCCTATCGATCAGTATATAGCGTGAAAGTCTGAGCATGAGAAAAATTTCAAATATTTAATTGTTAAGCTGTAAAACGAAGAGATTTACATAAAAAAATAATTTAAAGGCGACAGAAATTGAGAGGCGGGCGGTGACGTTAACCAAGTTTTTTTTTTATTTGGCCTTACATGTAGAGTACCTTATTTGCCAACAATAAAAGTTTGACAAAGCAGAAATAGTGAGATATTGGGTGTATATATACAATACTGTATAAAAGAATGGGATAAAATTTAGTATTACAGTATAGTATATACAAGGTTTTTTTCCACCCATCCTTGTCACCAGTTGGATAATGCCAGAGACTAGTTGTCTCCGCCTGGCATAGCAGACAAGAAATATATTTGTTTAAACAGCAAAAGTGGGTTTTAGCAGTCTTGTTTGTGCAGTACTTTACATTGTCACACAGCCAATTGGCATGCCGCATGGTCTATTTAAATATTAACTAAAATTAAATTATCACCTTATTTCATTATAGCATTTCTGTATAACATTATTAATAATTGTTCAATTAATAAAAAATATTATTTGTTTGTCGAATTCACTTACATGCAGGGGCTGAACATGGGAGAAACCATCCCCTTATTTTGGCGGTGGGGTGAGACTATCAGGTGGAATCATAGCAAGGGTTTTAGCCCAACTGAATAAGATCTTATCCAGTGGTGGATCCAGCAAAGTTTTTTTTGGGGGGGGGGTGCTAACCAATGGCGAAATGAGCACCGAAGGCGCGAGATTTCTAGGGTGATCCGGGGGGCCCCTGCCCGGGAAATTTTTAAAATTTGGGTCTCTGAAATGGCATTTCCAGTATTCTGAGAAAACATTCTGGAAAATTTTTAGACTCTCAAAACATTTATAAATTCAGAATATTTAATATTGGCTTTCCGCTATTGTCAACTAGTGATACGCAACTGAATTCCTTAACATAAGTTGGTTAGAATTAGGGTAAACGTCATTTTTGCACCTCCCCCATGCACCCCTGTTGACCTGAGCCTGGGGGGTGCGCACCCCCCGCACCCCCGCTAAATCCACCACTGATCTTATCACCAAATTTGATATCAGATTGGCCTATTGACCAATTCGAAAACTATATACTAACCATTATATATATATTGCATAAAAATATATAGTTGAATATTGCGAGAATTTGTGAATTGTTCTCGTAAGGAGGTACTGTATTTACCATGTCTAAACTGATGAAATGACGCTGCAATTATGCTTTTCACACCTAGAGGTTAAGGTTTAGAGTTTAAGGTTTCCAAAGGACAACCTTGCCCTTTGCAAAACCTTGAACTCGAAACCGTAAAGTGGCACTGCATGTCATTAAAATTTCTATTGTCTAAAATGAAAGAACTCCTAAAAATGTAAAGTATAACTTCTTTTTGTTTGAAACCATGTGACGTCATTTACTCAATTACAAAAGGAAAGATTTTGACAAAAAATAGCAAAGATACACAACAATTACTGATATCTCATGATTTATGGATGAATGCACAATTGACTATTTATGCATTCATCATTATGTCTCAAATGACGAAGTTAGCACAATTCGTGATCACTCAAGTATTCATGAATACATTAGTCATTACACTGACGAAGCTAGTGTTGATTTTACAGATGTTAGTGTTAATTTTATCGATAATTTCTCCATAACTTTTCAGAAACAGTTAAACCAATACCGAGAGAAGCAACAAATTTCTTTCTCTAAGGGACTTCATAAAAGCGTCGAAATCGCACCAAATAAAACGCAGCATAAAAGCAATAAATTCCGTCGCAGGCAAAGTGCGCCGAGGCATACATATATTTTTCAAGCCTGCCCGGTGTGGATTAGTCTCCTACGCATACCTACTTAGCGGGCTGTGCCCTCATGTAAGGTACACGTATGCTTACTTTGGCCAGGAATTCCTTTCCTCAAAATTAGCCAATCACAGCTTTACCCACGAAAATTGTGGGACTTGACCTTTGACCTTGAGGCTTGGGTCGTCAAAAGTTTCGAAACATTTAATCTTGAACATTTCATATCTTCATTTGTACGTATTCATATCTTAAACCGATTATCTGCGAGAGCTGAGAGATATATTTGTTATACATATACCAGTCTACAAATTTACAATATGGAACAATTGTAAAATCTGTTAGAATTTGTCGAGCTATTGTTTTGAACAGACAGTGTAGTAAAATCGAACAATATCACCTAAAATATTTCGCGATGTTTTGATTACTTTACAAGCGTTTGCAGCTGTTACTGTAACACGGGTAATATACTGGACAAAGACGTCAAGACAAAGTTATAAAGTTACAGTGTACACTACTGCGGGTCTCGATAATAGACTTATAGCAATGTCTAATTGAAGATTACAGAATTCAGCCTATATAAAATACTGAATTGACTCATTGCATATTTCGGTTTCTAAGTTTGTATATGAATAGCCAGTTTATAAAGTTTCATAAAACGTAATTACAAAAGTCGCTCTGATATTGAACGTTCGGAAACTTATAGTATATATTGAATATACATGCCGTCACGCAGTCGCGTCAAGTTCAAAACAAGTATTACCAGTGAATAGTTTTATATACATTTAAGCCTTCGACCTATCGCGTACATTCGTTGGGAAAATATTCAATATTTTCTACTTCGACTGCTATTGATCAGAAAACTCGATCTGTTCACATTTACTGTATGGCATTTAAATACGTATATATTATTATTCGATTATCGCACGCTCCTTGTTTACACTTTACAGTTGACATTCAAAGTGGGCGTGTCTAGTGAATGCTCTAATGGCATGCAATGGGAAGGCGAATTGCTAGCGAAAGTAAGCAGACCGTACGTGGCGGCCCCAAACCCGCTAAAGTAGGTCTGCATAGGAGACTAGGTGTGGATATACACTCAGAGTAGCATCACAAGCATCTTATTCACCTGAGTACATTACACCAACACAAGAAAATATGAGTAAATGACGTTACATGGTTACAAACAAAATGAAATATCTCAAGAACTAAACATGGGAACAAAAATCTTCAAAAGAAGTCACTATGCAGTTTTAAGAGCATTTTTGCTTAAGAAAATGAAAATTTTAATGACAGTGCCACTTTAAACTTTAAACTCTAAGCGTGCACGCTTAATCAAACACTTATCGAGTACATACTTGTAATTAAACTAGGAGTTACTGTCGCAAGGAAATTGCTGGCTCGACTGGCACATGTTAGCGAGGAAACAACTTAATTTGCAGTGAAACGGATATGTAAAATCCCTTTAATTGATATGGACTTTCAATACACCATGTCTATGATCAAAATATCAACAAAACACAAATATCAACAAAACATTTAATAGTTATTGTGGCCGCAATAGATTTTTCTTGAAAATGTCAATATCATACAGTATATTAAACAGTTAAAGAAGTACTAGACTTGGTTCAAGTCCGTCTCTCAAGGGGTTGAAAATAGCGATGCATGTGAGTGGTCAAAAAAGGCGCAAAAATATGAGAGAATTTTTTTTTATTTTTCCTACCAAGGCATGGCTTGCGAGTTGAGAACAACAACAAATTTTCGCGCCAATTTTTCCAAGTGACATTCAAATTGCTACAAATGTCCCAAGTCCGTTTCTCCCTACTTTTTGCCTGAGATGGACTTGAACCAAGTCTAAAGGAGTACAAGACCCAAGGTTATCTGTTTCTTTAATGTATAAGGGAACAAAACAAGAATGTCTATAAATAACAGGGAATGTCAACATCGTATGCGAATTGATGAATAGAAAGTCAACTAATAAGAAAATCCCAGAAATGAAAGATGAGAATGGTGAAGTAATTGACGAAACGCTAATCCCTAATGCCTTTAATAAATACTTTGTTGAACTAGGGGAAAAACTTGCGAATAAAATTTCTCAATCGAATATTTTACCGGATAGTTTTCTCAGTGATGTACACCATCCAGCTAATGGGCTCCCTAGCTTTCAAGAAATTTCAGAAAATGATGTTTTGACTCTACTTCATGGTTTAGGGCCCAATAAAGCATCGGGAATCGATGGTATCTCCTCTCGTATCTCAAAAATTTCGGCAGCAGTTATTTCACCATCCCTAACATCAATATTCAACCAGTCAATCTTAACAGGCATATTTCCCAATGATTGGAAAATCGCTAGAATTACTCCGATCTTTAAGTCTGAAGCTAAAGATAAAATGACAAACTACATACCAATATCCGTTATATCAGTAGTTGCCAAAATTGCAGAAAAGCTGATTTATAACCAAATCTATAATTATTTACATAACTATAATCTACTTTCAAACTCCCAACACGGATTTAGACCACTTCACTCAACTGTTACAGCATTACTGGACATAACCAACGAGTGGTATACAAATATTGACATTGGGAAACTAAATGGGATTGTATTTCTGGATCTGAAAAAAGCATTCGATACTGTCAACCACAATATACTCTTAGACAAAATAGCAACTTATGGAATAAAGGGAACGGCACATCGCTGGCTGGAGTCGTATCTATCAAATAGGACCCAGTGCTGTTGTGTGAATGGCAAACTATCAAGTCCATCAATTATGAAAACAGGCATACCTCAGGGTTCTGGTTTAGGCCCATTGTTATTTCTAATTTACATCAATGATTTACCAAAATGTTTAAACGCCGGGACAAAACCAGATATGTTTGCGGATGATACCCAAATTGCAACATCAAGTGACGATATCAAAGTTATCACTGAAACATTAAATAGAGATTTAAACAATGTTGCAAATTGGCTGTCCGCAAACAAATTAACTCTGAACAATAGTAAAACCGAATATATGATAATTGGTTCAAAGAAAAGGCTTAGTCAAGTGACTGCCGATCCTGCTATCAGTGTAGGTAACTTAGAAATTAAGAGAGTTGAAATGACAAAATCATTGGGCCTAATGATAGACGAGTCTTTAGACTGGACCGCGCAGGTCGAACACATTTCAAAAAAGGTCACTTCAGGCCTTGCTATTCTCAGACGACTCCGGGATACAGTCGAATTCAATACCTTAATAACAATATACAAATCCATAATTCAACCTTATTTCGATTATTGTGCTCAAGTGTGGGGTTGCTTAGGGAAAACATTAGCAGCTAAAGTCCAAAAATTACAAAACAGAGCGTTTCGAATAATCACTCCTGAGAATTATACGACACGATCGGCTGATATATTAAACAAGCTAAAAGTTCCGAACCTCGAAAAAAGAAGAATGCAACAACTTTCAATTCTCATGTACAAGGTGAAAAACAAATTGGTCCCCGATTACTTGTTTGATATGTTCACAAAAGTTGGTGATGTACACGACCATAACACAAGACAGTTGGGAGCCGATTTGACATTGCCTAAGCCAAAAACAAATAGTATGAAAAATGCATTCTCCTACAGAGGTGCGGAAGTCTGGAACTGCCTTCCTGAATCGGTAAAAGCATCAACAACTATTGCTAATTTTAAATCTAAGTTGAAGCATGCAAATTAACATCAAGTGATCCTGCCATTGTTTCCATCTACTTAAAATAATTTTCTTGTAATTATTTCTTATTTCTGTTTGTGTGAGCACGGCCGGTTGGAAGATCACCTTTTTTCTTTTTATATCTTGTACATAATTAATTTTAGTATAGGTGAAATTGTACCGTGTTGAAATATAGTTCATAATAATAATAATAATAATAATAATAATAATAATAATAATAATAATAATAATAATAATAATAATAATAATAATAATAATAATAATAATAATAATAATAATATGCACTTGGAATTTAAATGCTTATGTTAGCCACATGCCCTGAGTATAACCTTGTTGACCTCCACGCTTGCAAACTTTCATGATTTGGCAAAGCACGAACAATTAACATTTTCTCAATCTGAGTTAAATCTTTCATTTTATTCTTATCCCGAGAACATCGTGAGCACACATATGGTGCTTTTGGTTTAGATCAAGCTTCAAAACAAACATGCCATTAGGATTAGTTCAAAATCACTCACCACAACAGGCAATTTAGTATCACTCACCACAATTGGCGGTTCAATGCTGTGTGCCTCAGTAGGCGAATCAATATTTTGTTCAAATCGACAACAAATATCGAAATTGACCATTTGCGTAATAGATTAAATTTTGATCTAAACAAGTCTAGACAAAAATTTCATCACAGTTTGAAAAAGCATCACAAAATTAGTAATATTCCAAAGTTTCGTTGCGAAAGGTTGTAAAATGCGGATAATATAGCCTTGCGAAGTTTGCAATTTTCAGTCATTTTAGATTACAAACGGGTAATTGACAGCCCCAAAGGGTATTGGGCTGTCAATTTCCCGTTTGTAATCCAAATAACTGAAAATTGCAAACGTCGCAAGGCTATACTGTATTATCCGTATTTTACAACATTTTGCAACGAAACTTTGGAATATTACTAATTTTGTGATGCTCTTTCAAACTGTAATGAAATTTTTGTCTAGATCAAAATTTAGTCTATTACGCAAATGGTCAATTGAACTCATTCTACAAACACGATACAATAACAAATTTTCGTAGGTTTCTCACGGACAAATACACAACACCTGGTAGCAAGTGAATCAAGTGATAAGATTATTCATCGCTTTTATTAATACATTTTGTCGCCTTATAATAAAATACTATATTTTAATTTTAAACGTCGTGCTTCTCATGTGCCGAAACATTTATAGAAACAATAGATCAGCTGATTATCTATTGTTTTTAATGCGTTCAGCCATGAGAAGCGATAGGCTGTTAAAAAGCCCCAGTAAACTATTAAAGGCACACCGTTTACCTCTAGACTTAACATCAAAACAGTCATCGCCTTGATTAATGTTCCCTCGGATAACAATTGCCATAATTTGTAGATTGCTTCAGCGTCAGGTTGTGCATGTATTTGAAGTATATGAGAGAAATTCATGTGTTTCTTGTAACTACTTCCTGTGCGCCCGGCAAGCGTAATTAATTTTCGTAACCCCCCTGAATTGCTGACATACAAACACAAAAAATCGAGATTCAAGCTCGTCTACTAAACTCGGCGCGCGGAGACTGGTACGGTCGAGAATAGTGTGCTGCCTCGCTGAGGCTCGGCAGCAATTACCCACAGGACTACTGTATCATGATGATGCACTGTAGTTTATTTTTCAACTACAGTAGTATAGATACTAGAGCAGGGTTCTTGACAAGATACCATTTTCAGGCATTTCACATACGGGCAATTCCTGTGTCAATATATTTTTAATTCTAATATTTTTTATTGTTTAATGTAATCTAGGTGAAATGGCATCAATGCCGGAACAAACAACTGCATCGTCAGGTTATGGTGCTTTCACCGCTCCAAACTATGGTACGTTTTTGGTTTTTATCCACTACAACTGATTTTCATAGTTCGAGAGAGGTCGAAATTCTCAATGATAGTTGTGTCTTGTTAATTAACAATTATTCACTGAAGTGGAGGTGAATAATGCAGGGATTTCCGGAGCATAGTAACCAATCAAATTGCGCGAAAAGCACTATTCACCCCCGAGTATATACGCTAATATAGAAGATTTCGCGCAAACTTATTCAGATTTGCGATAATTTTCTCTATTTCGCCTTTTATATTGTAGAAGTGACCAGATTTAATAGGTGTCTCTTTCCTATAACATTCTATTTTCTATTTTCAAACTTTGTGTGGTTTGACTATTTTTCTGCGCTGTGGCGAAATTTTATTTATCAAATCTCAAGCCGTCAAGCTCTGAATCACCTCTGAGTTATGTTTCCTATTGCCAAAATTGACTTTTCACGCCCAATTGCTCAAACTGTTGCAACTCTCAAACGTGACTGCAAAGTAATTTTTGGTTACTGCAAAAAAGTAAGTACATATACAGGCGTGATATCCAACAACAAAATCTTAAACGTAAAAATATTAAATAAACATATCTTATTGAATACTTTGACATATAATCCGGCCGATTATTTTACGAGTTTCGAGAAAACAGAAACGTAATTATCCCCGAGCCGGCGGCGCCAAGCGCCGTGCGAGGGTACTAATTCCCCCCGGCTATTTACACCCGGGGAAACGAAAGCATTAGCGAAGTCTAAAGTTCATCAATCATCGCGGGCGCTTACCAACGAACGACGATCTTGAGTGGGTGGTCATCCTCACTTATCTCAAAAATATGGCAAGCAAGATTTCAATTTTAAAAGACATATATTTGCAAAAACGTTTCATATACAACAAGCCTGAAGCAATTTTGTTTGAAGAAATGAGAAGAATTGGTTTACTACGGGAAATCATGAAATATACGGCAAGTTTGCTTTGAATATTTTTAAAATGTTTACGAATTTTGTTGCTTTAACTCTTTACGTATTAAATAAAAAACATGAACTATAGAAGCACTAAGATTCATAAATTACCGTTTAATTTGAGAAAAAATCTTAAAATGTAAAGGCGGCCGGATTGATTTGAAAACTGAACTGAAATTACCTAACAATTTCATTTTATTTGTATTACATGTAAACTTATCAAAATGTAGGTTTACTTGAATGAACATTTCAAAACATTTTACGAAGCATTTCAAGTTAAATTTTACATTAAATCAAAGCTCACAAAATGCAAAATAATATACTTACAGTATGTATTTCGGAAATTTATTGTTGTATAGTTAAAAGTACGAATCTGTCAACTATTTTGCAGTTTTGTGCAAAATATATGAAAATAAAAATTTGAGAATATCGTGTTGTCATGGCAACACTTGAGCGCAAGCCTGCGTTCAGTGATGGTCATTTCTGAATACTTCATGTTTAATGTATGGAAATATTGGCGAGGGGTTACTGCATGCATGTATTCCTAGGTAGGTAGTAAATCCATCAGATTGTCAATTCATACTAAGTTGCCATTTTACCAATTTTCCTCAAATGTTCTTAACTCGTGTAGAGTTTTCCCAAGTTGAGTTGCTGAAAATTGAGACCCTTTCTGGAGTAAATTGTGCTAACTCGCTAATTGAAGCCAGGCCAAAAACTCTGAAGAGACTTCTCCAATACTATGCTCATTTTTTTTCAGATTTTGAAACCGTCCTTCCATGGATATCTAGCGACAGATATTACTTACAAGCAACTACACAAGGTAGATTAAAAATTATTGCTTATTGATTTAATAAAAAAAACCCAATGCTTATCAGTGAGTTAAAACAATTCGAATACTAAAATCGTGGAATTGACTATGCTTAACTTTTCAGTTGTCCATGCATGCAGGTCAAACGAAAATGAGAATTAATGAGGGTTGTTACAGTCATTGTTACCTACATTTAAGCTATACATAAATTTATTTTTTATTTTAAGATCGTTAACAATCTTGTTCCAAATTATTTAAAAGAATTATTGCCTTCTCAGGTGATCGAGCGAACTCATTATTCTGTAAGATCGCAATCTGATTTTACACTGTTTCCAGTGCGCACTGAGCGCTTTAAAAAATCTTTCTTTCCATCTGCTACCAAACAGTGGAATGGGCTAGATACATCTGTACGTAATCTTCCGTTAATTTCTCGTTTCAAAAAGGTTTTGTTAGACCTTTTCAATCTTCAACCGAGTCCAACCCTATTTAATTATTCTCTTGATAGATATTCATCTATCATTCATACTCGAATACGTTTGGACGCTTATGCTTTAAATTATTATTTATTTAAAGTTGGTTGTAAATTATCTCCAAAATGTACTTGTGGTTTTGAAATTGAATTTACTAATCATTATTTTTCACATTGTCCGATTTTCGCTGCTCAAAGATTAAAGCTGTTCACCTCTGTTGCTCGCATTTTTGCTGACAGATGGCTTGCATTGTTCAGTTCACAAATAATAAAGCTTTTTACTCGCTGGGGCACTGTGCCCAGGCGAGTATAGGTTTCGGCATGCATTTGTCACGGATCTCGGGTAGTGGATAGTGGATCTCCAATCGTCGATAGCCACAAAACAGAATATTAATAAGCTGCCTAATTTCACCCCCAATTATCCATAAGGCCCTGCCAATTTTACCCAAATTATCCATAAATAACCCTACATTTTGAGGAAAATTCGGGAAAATTGAACAATTTTACAAGGAATTTCGACATGGAAACAGCAACCTTCGACAACAATATTACGTTTGGGCCGTTTGACTGCGCTGCTTTTATGTTTTGAGAAGAAAGCGACACCGTTCGATTCAGCGTAAGAAATTAATTGTACTTACAAGTGTATTACTAAACACCAGTATTCTAGCGATTTATGGCCTTAGAAAATGAAGCGAAATTGTATTGTTCACAAATCGCTCGCAGTACGAATTCTTGAGCACAAGTCACTTGCACTACGTTTGTGCACAGGTTTGTCCTTGTGTTTGTAATGCCTATTAATAATTTTGAGCGATTTGTCAACAATACAATTTCGCTTATGAAAACTGTCAAAACTGCACATTAAAACCTTCAAAATATGATATTTTGGGCTCAAACTACTAGCAAAATAAAGAGAAAAGTGAGACGAACCCACTGGTATGCGGTCGAAAAAAAGAAAACTAACAATACGAAAGTTATCAAGGTTAAATGTATTGCATTTTTAATTATAGTTTAATAATTTTGAGCGATTTGTGAACAATACAATTTCGTTTGTCTTTCAAAGGCCATAAATCGCTAGAATACTGTTGTTTAGTAACACATTTGACATCTGTGAGTATAATTTCTTACGCTGAATCGAACGGTGGTATTTTGTCCTTATTGGGCGGATAAAACCAGAGATAAGGCGCAGCAAAAAGTCAATCGTGAGAGTCTGAGATCAATTGGAAAGAAAACTTTCCCCGAAAAAAGGAATTCGGAAAACGTGAAGGATTATTTTGAGCGGCTTGTCTTTTATATCTTTCAAAGGCAATATTTAACTTGACGATTAACCATTTATAATGCCATTTTTTGCGAGTCTTTTAGGTTTTTTCTGTAATATTTAGTTATCATGAAACTATTAACATACATCTTTGTTTTCATAAAAGATAGAAACAAACAACACTTAACTAATGCAATCTAAACAGCATTTGTTTTGGTTATTCGTGACACTTCATATATAAGTTAGCTATTAACCAATCTAGCTTAGAGTGGCAAGACGAATAACCATAACAATGTGTTCTCAAACGTTTGTTTCAACTATAAAATGTGAATAAATGATTAAATTAGATATTTTAATATGTCAAGAATTATTATCTACATTGCAATGGTATGCATGTCTATCAATATGAATCTAAACCTCCAATAATGGGTTAATCGTCAGCGTTCCCCCTGCTCAATGTTGGTAAAAGCGGTGGATTCATCGGGTGGAAAGCAAAAATATCAACAGATCACAACATTGAAGAGGGGTAGCGGGGTAACGCGGTAGGTGTCACAACCTTTTTGACGTGGATTGTAGGTCACATGAATGCAACCTCTCATGCACCTGTACCAATTTTCTTTAGAGGTATTAGGGGCCGATTACATGGAGCATTTTCAACCCCGGGGTTGAACTCATCCCTGTTTACCGGGTTGAAATTTCAGCCCTGTCTGTAATACAAAACTCTATCAAAATCAAACGCGCGATTACATGACAAAATTTTCAACCCAGAGCTGAGTTCAACCCCGGGGTTGAAAGTTCTCCATATAATCGGCCCCTTAGATAGGCTCAGATTTCATTTCCACAACCGCCACTGCATCCATTAGCCAATCAGGTGCGGACTGAGCCAGTGAGAGGTTGCGGTAGTGGTAGCAGAAGCCAATCTGAACCTCTCTAAAGTAGTTTTTCTTGTCTACCTAAACCGATAATTTATTATATGACAATGACGTGATTTTACCGAATAAGGTCATGCATGAGAATATGAAAAATCTGAGAGCGGATTACCCCGTGTAAAAAGCCGTATTGCCTTCTTCCAAACAGGTTTTTCCAGGTTATGATGGAGCGAAAATCCGACTTTTTTAGTGAAGAACACACAATGGAAAAATACTAGTTCAAAGGCGACTCATGACTCGAATATAATGTTATGAACATTTAAACAGTAATAGAATAACGCTATAAAGCTTCAAAAGTAAAAAGCAAACTAGCGAGCAATTTGAGGTGTTTATTTCTTAAATTTGTTGAGGAAAACAGCAGCAAAAACGATATACTGTAAACAAATGCTCAATCTTCCAAATGTATTTCAGAAACTGGTTTTTCAACGATAACAAATCATGACAACTTATTTGAAAATTTTTGAAAAAATATTAGGCTCGTACAAAGCTTCAGGCATTGTTGTGCCTTAAACCCTCGCCTTAAACTGAATTCCGCACTGCAGAATCGCCAATTTGAAAAGTATTTTCGAAATTCGTGGCTACAACGTTACTAACGTTGAATAGTTGAAGAAATCTGGTGTTTAGGTGTTATTTCTGCACCTAATTCACTTTCTTAACTTTCAATCGGCATATTTTATATAATCAACTCAAAACAGCTTTCTTATTTCTGGCAGATAAAAATTTAGTTGGTTAAGAAACTTGATTGGCAGGTTTTCTTTGTTTCTGATATTTTATCCAATCAGATTTAAGAACGATGATGTCAGTGTCAAGTTGTTCCTAATTTGGTATGCAACTTCGTAACTTGTGTCAGGATGTTTGTTTTTATTGCATTTGAAAATCTAAATTTTTTAGCCGTTTTACTGCGCTACTTCAAAAAAGACATGGAAATCTATTTTTTTAGATTTGTCATATAATAAAAAATAGGTACGCCAAGCGTACATGTATCTGCGCACAGCGCCACAATGAAAGGCCCGACTTATTACCTCCGCCAGGAGGTTATGTAATCATCTGGGTTTGTATGTGTGTGTGTGTGTATGTGTGTGTGTATGTGTATGTGTGTGTGTTTGTCTGTGAGCACGATAACTCAAGAAATACCAAACATATTCATACGAAATTTTTTGAATGCATTTCCCATCGGCTAAGGAAGAACTGATTAAAATTTGGTTGAATTTGGTTAAAAATTGAACGAGAAATGAACAAAATTTTGTCTTGCTTTTCCCGGTCAATTAAAAAAAACTCACTGAATGCGTAATTAGGACGTGTATAATGTATGCACGCAGTACTATAGACAACTAGAGGGCACTCAGAGACTGCATACCTCCACCCGTTACTCGGAAGTGAAACGCAACCTTGGAATTTCCTAAGAAATCCACTTTATAATTCTTAAGCATAAAAGATTTCAGGCCCCCGCGAATTGAAATCGAATTGCTAATAGAACATATTACTGTTGTTGTGCTGTACAGTACTTGTAAAATAAAAACTTATTAAGTGTCATTAAATAAATGCATAAATTTTGCTTTATGCACTCGCGCGTGCAGTAATTTTCACAGTTGTGCTATTTTAAATTCCCAGGCAGCTAAAATCTTTTGTCTTTAAAACAATGTCGATTTCTTGGGAAATTCCGAGGTTGCGTTCTTTTTATACACCCTGTATTGAAGTAATCTAATGTTGTTAGAATTTGAATGGACTGGCACTTTGCTGAACGTAATAATGCGTAACTCCGTAAGCCTTGTTTTAGACATTGAATTTCGGTCGCGTGAAATGCAACTAAGACAATAGATAATGAAGGCCGAAGCTTAATGAGGTTTATCATCTCATTATTGTCTTAGCACTGAGTGCATAAATTATACACGTCCTAATTACGCATTCAGTAATATATTTTGTTAATTGACCGGGAAAAGCAAGACAAAATTTTGTTCATTTCTCGTTCAATTTTTAACCAAATTCAACCAAATTTTAATCAGTTCTTCCTTAGCCGATGGGAAATGCATTCAAAAAATTTCGTACGGATATGTTTGGTATTTCTTGAGTTATCGTGCTCACAGACAAACACACACACACACATACACATACACACACACATACACACACACATACAAACCCAGATGATTACATAACCTCCTGGCGGAGGTAACAAAGGGGATGAAGTTGTAAAAAGTTAAAAAGTGCGTTACGAAAATTCCTCTCTGTAAACACGGAAAATGTTCTTCCGAAGCTCTGTTCTTCGGAAACCAGATCACTGTAGATGGGACCGGATTTTATTACCTCCGCCAGGAGGTTATGTAATCATCTGGGTTTGTATGTGTGTGTGTGTGTGTGT